AACAATATCGATGTATGGACAAAAGAATATCTAGGTAAACTACGAATTGAAGCCAAGACTAACATATTCTCAAGTGCGCTATGAGAAGGGTAGAGTTCGAGAAGGTAGCCATGTGAAAATTTGCAAAGAAAATTCGAGACACTTTTGCGGTAACATGCAAAGTTAAGTCTCAAGTTAAAGATGCTACATCAAAATTCTAGTAAAAGAATACGAGATGCTTCATATGAATGAATATGAGAACATTGTTGAAATGAATGAAATTGTGGATGCCAAGCTAAAATAGTCGACCTCAAACTTTACAGAGTCCTGAGAGCGATGACCCTATGATTGCCGTTGGATTCCACCTCTCGAGACGAACACCTGTAAAAAAGGACCAACGGGTTGTGGTTGCCTCGTACGTCTCTAAAGCTCAAGTTAGTGTATGGGAATAACTAGGAGTGGTGTATTGAGCCGTCTCTAGAGAGAGAGAGAGGGTATTTTGGGGTGGAAAAGTAGCCAACTCACCGAGAAAAAGTTGGTAAGGAATTTCCCTTTTATGATATCATCCTGAGAAAGTGAGTTCTCTGGGTTTGAGATGGATTTCCAAGAAAACAAAAACGAACCACCTATCTATAGGCACATCCTGCTCTTAGCGTAGGTGGTGTATCCTTGACGGGTTGTAAATAAAGCATGAAATAATTAATTGAATGAATAAATTAACTAAAGGTCAAAACACTTACCTTGATTGGATGTAGATACTTGTACTAGTACCATTATTGTATTTAGTTACCAACACAATAGAAAATACCACATAGACAAATATGGATAACTAGTGGTGAATTAGTCAATGGGTTCATTGGTTGATGTAGTACATTATAGCATTTATCTCTTGTCCACATGTAAATGGGTTGTTAATGGGAGGAATCGTTTGGTGTGAGAAGTTTATTCTCACATCCAATTAACCTTGTCTTTCTCTTGTGAGTTGTGAGATAAAAGGTCAAGGTGACGGTGTTGCTTAGGATGAGTAAGTGAGTTGTACACTTGTGTGTCATTTTGGTGGGATGTACCCTCTCCCAACCTAATGACAACATAAATTTAATATTTACGTGACCATGGGGGCAGTGGTAAACTTACCACATTCCTCGTTCCCGCCCTCATGAAATAACCTAGTGGAGCATTTTGTCCCCCTTACTGATAGGGTTTATCAAAGATCCCTTATTGTCAAGACTTATAAATAAAATGGGACGTTGACACTCATCATCTATCTCACTTTTCCCTTTTCTAGGTTGAAAAGAGGAAAATAATTATCACCTCGTTCCTTTACTCCACAAACTCTTGCTAGATTATATGCCCACTAAAAATACGTTCCCACTCCCAACCTTTCATCTGTCACTTTATTTGACATGTTAGGAAGCTAATTTTCGACCTTGTACAGATCCTTCATCAAAGAACATGAGTTCACAACTAGCTTTTTACTTTATGAATTTTGTTTATATATGTAGGTTTGATTATTTTACACGTGTGTTGTTTTTTTTAACATATGAATAAATAGTGTTATATTTAGAAATGTCATAAGAGAAATCATTGTAGTTTCTTGCATTCAAACGTGACGCATTACATAATTTGTCAATGTCTCTCCGCTCAGTTCCATGTTTAGAAATGGTTCGTCGAAGGGGTGAACAATTAGTCTAGGGAGAAGGATAATCCGCTTTAAGTCAAAGTACACTATCTTTCTTCATTCGATCATGTCATGGTATGTTCCCTTCCACATCCCATTTGTCAGAGTATGTCAAGATAGGACCAGGTGGCCATTTGATTAGGAATTAGGGCTAGGTGCATAGGACTTTGTTCGACTTTAATATGTTGCATCACTGGGAGTATGGGTGATTCAGGAAAAATTACACATATTTTACCCTTCATTTCTTGATCGTTTCACTTGGTAATCATTGTCTCTCAACCTATTTTACGCTAGATTGTGCTTATTTTATTATATTTTAGGTTCTAATATGTGTGGAAAGGTCAAGGACGAGTTTCGGGATGATTGGAGTTCGAAAAGTGCCAAAAAGTAAAGAAAAGGCCAATGTCACGGTTTGGGAGTAATTGTACAATTGAGCTCAGGGCGTGACAATTGAAAGGATTAGAAGAGTTAGCACATCTTGTGGGCAGAGCAATTGTCACGGTCACCAGACCATGACAATTTCCAGCTGACCATGACATTAGACCAAAACGACATCAAACATCTGTGTTTTCTTTCCAAAATCACGGTCGGGCTGTCAATGTCACCCTCGTGACATCTGGCTGTGACATTGGCTCTCGGGATTTATAAAAAGATAGCATCAGAGAGAGAGAAAGGGCAGTTTTTGGAGAACTTGGTTCTCTCTCTAAGGTTTCAACCCAAAACACCAAAGGGGAGTTCTAGAGAGAGTTCTAGAGTGATTTTGGAGTTGAATTGAAGGCTCGGGTTGATCTTGAAGTTAAGGATTCAAGCCTAGAAGATGAAGAAGATGAAGATCTTGAGCAATTTTTTAATCTCTCTCCTCTTCTCTAGAACTAGACCTCTTTATCTTAGGTTGATGAACCCTAGGTCTAGATTTTGGTTTGTTGTTGATGTATGTGACATATTCTATGTTTGATTGATGAATTTATCTATTTGATAGATGTTTTCATGGTTTGCATGATTTTGGATTCTACTTCATGTCAATTGAGCTTTTGACATAAGAGGGAGACATAGGAGGGAGATAATCCTTCTCCCTAGACTACGAGATCGTTTCATCATAGAACCAATGCATTTGAGGATCATCTTACTGTTTTCTAATGGATCAATCAGGACTGTTGCTAGGGATGGCAATGGGTAGGGTTGGATTGGAGTTTGCCAAACCCAAACCCATGGATATATCCAAAAAAAAAACCTGGGGTAAAACCCATTGGGTTTGGAAAACTCAAACCCAATCCAACTTCCTTTATATCCGCGGGTTTCTGGACACCCATGAGTTTTTTTTTTTAACAAAAGATAATCATGTATTGATAACAAAAGATAGTTACATCCTGGAGAGCAGCCAGGCCTGATAATTAAAGCCACGATTCATGATCGGGTACAAAGAGAGGGCTTTCCTAGCCACAAGATGGGCTACCCTATTACTACTCCGACCTACAAATCGAACCGTCAATCCTGGGTGGTTGCGAAAATAATGCAAGACCTCCTCCAAAACAGCACCCACTCGATTGTCTCTGCCATCCCCTTGATTGAGTTTGTCAATGATCACCTTAGCATCCCCTTCGAATACCACATTAGAGATGCTATGCGCCAGACACCATAGAATCGCCTCCCTAAGGACCAGAAGCTCCACCGTCATCGGGTCTCCCACATGCGGGAAAAGAACCCCTTTTACCTGAATGACCTCCCTAGCCGGGGATAACAGGACAATTCCACCAGCAGAATGCGACCCTGGCCGAACCGCCCCATCCCATATACAAACAACCCTCCCAGTCTCGCCTATCCCTCCACCTTCCCCCACCGGGACACCCATGAGTTATGTGGTAAAAATGCACAATAACAAATTCATGTTAAAATAAAAGTCTAACATAATTCTTTCATACAAATTATCCAAACAAAAAAATATCAATTTAGAGCATACAAGCAAACCACAAAGTATCCATACAATTTGTTCAACTAGAAAGATAAACTTCCATAAACAACATGATTAATTGAAAGCTTATTCCTCCTTGTCAACTAAGCTTCTTCACTCTCCTTTTCTTTTTGGAATTAGGGTTAGGAATTTGGATGGGGAATGACTGAATTATTTGTGATTGGGGACGGGTACGGGTGGATATAGCTAAACCCGAACCCAACTCGCAAAATCGAAACAGGTTTAAACCCGAACCCGACCCATAATCTGTCAATGTGGGTTTTATCCGCGTTGACCGGGTTGGGTTGGGTCGGGTAGGGTACCCATGGATTCGGATTATGTTGACATCCCTAGCTGTGGACAGCCTATGGCAGGTATTAAATGATTGCTTGATAAGTTTAAGTGTTTAACAAAGATTCAAGGCTTAAGTTCAATTTATCTCAGTGTAATATTTTTTGTGATGGGATTCCTGATGAAGAAAAAGAGAGTGATTTCACAGCACACACGGTTCCCATTGGAGATTCTGCTTGTCCGTTATCCCGGAGTCCCTTTAATAACAGGTAAAGTGTCAGCACTGGTTGATAAGATAACATCTAGGATTCATACATGGCAGGAAAGTATGCTTAGTTATGATGGTAGATTGCAGCTTGTTTCCACTGTGATAACAAGCATTATGCAGTACAAAATCTGGATGACTCTTTTCTTACTACCTCAGAACATGCTCAAGGAAGTGGAGATGATTTGTAATAGATTTCTTTGGGGGGTGGGAGGGGCTGACAAGAGGGAAAGGGCTCTGGTTGCGTGGTCTAAAGTTGCTTTGCCAAGAGCAGAAGGGGGCTGGACATCCGTGATTTCAAAATGTGGAATCAAACATGTGTTATACCACACATCTAGAATATATTAGCCGAATTTGGTTCATTATTGGTTATGTGGATCAAAAGATACAAACTTAAGCATAGAGCAATATAGTAATGTTTATGCATCGGCAACATGATCTTGTGTATGGCGACGCATACTAAAGTGTCAAGACAGTGTTCAGTCGTTGCTCCTATAGCTTCAGTGTTCTGGTTACAGTTCTTGGGAGGAGTTGTAAGGTTCCAAAGATTACCATCATGGGAAGATCATTTAAAGGCTATCATTAAGTGGACGGGAAGAATGATGTTCTTGCAGAAGGGAGGTTGTTGTTAAGCCAATTGTTGAGTGAGAGGTGCAGAAGATGTTATGGAAATGTTCAAATCAGTACTCCTGAGCAGCTGACAGGAAGAATGTGTTGAAGCATGCTGGTTGAATATAGAAGCAGCAGTATATTCGTAATGGTTTTAAGTTTTCAAATTGGTTGTAAAGCTGAAAACTGATGTATCCATGAGGAGTTTGCAGGTTGCAGAGAGACTGAGAGAGGCATGGACCAATGCAATGGTGTAAAAAAAAAGGCATTTTTTTGGTCGTTCTTAATGCCAATTGTTAAGTAACCATAATATATTGATAAACCGAGTGACCAAACATACAATCCACCCCTTAATTCATCTCGAAAGACAAGAATAAAACTTGAGCTGTATTGCTGTGTTTTATTCGAAAGAATGCAACGCGCTCAGGAAGTCAATGAGTAGCGCATCTTCTGCTCCAAGAACAGCAGTGTTTAGGTCCATCGGCTTTCAACTACCCTTCTTCCCAGTCTATATCATCATCCTCGTCCTCTGGAGTAGCCTTTGCTTCCTCGTTCAAATCATGCACCCTGTAACTTTCGCTTGTCTCGTTACCTGTTGCCAATAGAATGCCCAAAACAAAACCACAGTCAAAATCCAATCTTCCAATCATTTACTCAAACCCACAGAGCCTCAGCACATTAAACGAAATTAAGACAGAAACAACAATAGCCTATGTACAGATACAACAGAAATGGACGGACTATCATAGTGTAATATCAATAATAAAACAAGGAGATGTGGCTTTAGCTATTTAATAATTTGTGAGTTTACTGGCTAACAGTGGAACTTCTTTTTCAGACAAAACAAGCACACTCAAAGCTACTGTTTTTTTAGCCAAAACGAACACCCAATTAGAACTCTCACCTCCCAGTGGGGCCTCTTCCCAGTCGACATCATCATCTCCCTCATTGTCTTCACGTTTGAACTTCATCCCGACTTGACGTTGTGGCGAGGATTCATAAGGACCATTCAAATCTGAAGTTTCCAGCACCTCCTGTTGCTTATTTGCAGCTTCTAGCGCTGCTTGTTGCTCCAAGATCGCAGCATAATAAGCTCTCGCGTACTCGTCCTGATAACAGAACATCAAAACCTTAGTTTAGTACAATTGACCAACCTATTTCTTCGTAGTAACTACAATGTAAAACTAATGCCTTAACCAACAAAACGGACCTGTAAACTCTTTTTCTCATCATCTTCAGAGACAGTTTTCTTGTCATCTGAGAACCCTGATGATGAGCTGCCATCCATCTTGGACTCCTGCTTCACCTCTCCTCGTTGCTCCTCTGTGAGGTTCATTCCTTGTTTTATCATCCATGGTGGTAATACTTTTAGCCCTACGCCTGCACTTACAGATTTGGCATCCTCTTCCTTGCCATCAACACCAGAAAAAGCCACCTCAACCTGCCACAACCACCAACCAAATGCTTACAGAAAAGTTTCAAGTGGAACCGACAAGTTCTAGAAGTAACGAATTCGCAAATCATCATTTCCCATCTTTTTTTATGGAAAAGGAAGCTGAAAGATCAGTTATGAAGATTAATCACTCAGAAACTACAGATTGGAACGATGAAGAGAATTATGACTACAGACATAATACCGCACCAAAGCTAACTTTGGAGATAATATCTAACCCACTAAACATAGACAGCACAAGATAATTAAAGAACTTTCTAAACTTGAACTCGATATTAGCAAAGGAGCTGTAAGAGAAAAAAGCAATACCTTCGTCTCCCCAAGATATAGCAATGGTACTCCACCATATCCTTGTGATGACTTTGAAGGATCATTTGAATTAGATCCATTTCCAGCACGACCAGCAGCACTTGCTCTAGCCTCCCATGCTAGGAGATTTCCAAACTCAGGAATAGGAATATCTTTCACTAGGTTCAGTTGCTCAATTAGTGGCTTAAGTTGTGTCTGTTACCATTTATATGCCCACCACGTGAAAGTTAAAATATGAACACGATGAAAGGATATGTTCCAGTAACTCTAAATGCATAGCCTCACACTAAATGTGTGAAAAAACTAATGGCCCATAAAAATCATTTTAAAATTGCAATGATTTGAGATAAAGGATACATTTGACAATTCAACAAGTACTTCTATATGAATGTAAGGAAGTACTCAACAATTTAGTCAAGAAGGGTTATCTAGTGACTGTGAAGCCAACGTCACCATAAAAACGAAACGCATTCCATTCCAGTCCTACCTTTCTAATCTTGTTCTGAAACAAAAACACGTTGACTCTGAAGAACTAGAGTATCTGTTATTCGCAAAAATAATAAAATAATAAAACACCCAAATCTTAACATTGCCAAATCTTAACTACTAGAAAGAAAGAAAACAGTATGAAAAAACTGGGGCCTCTATGATTCATGTCTATAGGGACACATGGGGAGAGGGTTTAAGGCAGATTTCGGAAACTACACATTAAATCGAACCCACTTCACTAATGTACACTACCCTAGAGATATGAATTATTATTGACAATATGCATTTTTCTGAATTCACATCAACATCACTGCATGTCCTCTTTGCATGATCAGCATGACAGCAATCTACACCTACAAGCAGCACAGTCAAACTGAATAGCTAGAGAGGAAAACATACATCCATTTTCTGAAGCATGTCCTTTATTTTTTCGCGCCTCCTCCTCCTTGCATTATCATCTGCATCTCCTCCTTCTGGAACAGATAACTTATCGCTCTCTGCCACAAGTTCACCATTGCAATTTTCACAATGGAAAAATTCATCTTCCATGGAAACCAATCGCAGGGCATCCAGAGCATTGTATCTAAATCAGAAAATACTAAGTTAAGAAGCAACTTCATACTCGTTACATTATAACTGGAACAACCATCACAATAAATCAATAGCAGTTAATTTTTTTTTACAAATGGAGTAGGTACCTTCTCCCGCAGTTGGGGCACACATACTCTTGAATTGTATTTTTCCCTTCCGATTCATCCCTCAATTTCTTCCTCATGCGCTGCAATCTGTACCTGACAACGTCATATATCTGCCATGCAAATTCTAGCTCAGATATTCAGCAGAGCATAATTCATAAAGTATAGAGTGCACAAGCAAATACAAAATAGAAAATCCAAAATGAAAGGTTGAGCATGCAGGGATAGACAACACAGATAGATGAAAGGAAAAATGGGAGAACCTGTGCGTAATCCAGGCAGCAGTATGAGTGCGTGTGTAGCTTAACCTTATCATCCCCTTCTTTACCATGGTGAACCTCAGTAGTAGCCGCTACTGCAGCAGTATATAACTTTGCACCTTTTGCCGTCTGTGAAGTAAGTTTAAAGCACCCAACAAAGTATATTAATAAAAAAGGACATAATAGGAAGATAGTAATTGTAACTCAGTTCGATAGGGTTTGTAACAGGCAATATATGACAACAGCTACCGTACACTTTGTCATCAAAGAATTCAATTGTAAAGTAAGTTTGTAACCGAGTTAAAATCATTAATCTCACTTTCAAAACACTATCATATCTATCAACTTCAGGTTCCAGTTTGTAGTAAAAAAACATGCAAAACCAGAGGGATAAACACATGTAAATTTTCAAGGTAGTAGATACATCGAATTGATGTGAAAAAAATGTTAAAAGAAAGGTACACAAACATAGTACACAGAAAGATAAAACTACCACATTGATTATTAGGAACTTTGTAATAACTCTAGCTCGAAGTAGACAATAACCTTCCTACATATCAGCAAGGAACAACTATATTGGTCTGGTAATGGAAGATATGAGCCACAAGTATAAAAGCACCTCATGATTGGTGGCTAACTCCTATAAATACAGGCTTTCCCTAAGACCATAACTAGCCTAAAGTTACAATGTACAATCAGTGGCTAATCTTCACTAAATACTAAATAGTAATGGAACTGACTAACTGATACATAGCAGCACATCCAAACACTATCTGATATGTAAAAGTTAACTTGAACTAAGATAAAACCCAACCTCTTTCCTATGATCACGAGTAACCAGCTTTTCTTCTTCGAAAAACCGCAGTGTGCGCCGGAGTTGCTTTGTGTGTATTTTTAAATCCTTCGCCAGATCCTCTTCTCTGACCCATTGGCGTCTATGTTACAACAATTAAAAACTGAAACTAATTACATTGAATATTAAGTAGTAATTCTCCACGACAAGACACTAGAAAGTCAGCATAGAAATACATATACTGAGCAACAAATACTGGTACGCAATAATGAAAAATTATTGCTCTGTAAGTGAAACAGGTAGGCAAGCATATTAACGGAACTCCTGTCACTAGCACTGAGCATTTCAAACCAAAATTTTAGAACTTGTATTTACAAGACAGCCCCAACATGTATCACTGCAACCATGCCTAAGTGAACATGCACAGCTATCCAACCAGCAACAATTTGTATCTAACTTCTGAAAGAAGAACAATAAATCAAAAGACAGAATAAGATATTCAATTCTTACCTGGTGAGAGCATCGAGAATCACCACTGCCATTCCTCTGTTATCACTACGCCCAATCTTTTGTTGATTATCTCCCTTTGTTGTGTAGTCATCATAAAACGCCCTAGCCGCTAGCTTCACTAACCTATATTCATTGTTCCATTTTTATGATCACTTTTCTACCACAAGAAAATGAGAAATTAACCAGAAACAAAAAGCCATAGCAGCACTCAAATGCAATCTTAAGAAAAATTATGCAGCAATGAAACTAAACAAATTGCACAACTGCGGAGAACGAATTCACCTGTTGAAAGGTTCAATGCTCATGTTAGTAGAACGGGAGCACCAATCACTAGTTGCACATACAATTTACTTCAGAGCATTCGCTTTGTTTTGTATCCCAACTTTCTCTTGGACCTTCGCAAGCTGTGGCACTGAGACAAGTAGTGCAGAGGATCTAAATTACAATCAAAAGAAATCTTCGCACAGTTCCTGGATTTAAGCCAAAATAACATGGCTGCTGGTGCATTCTATCACTGCTTTAAAAAATGATGATACTTAAGCATGCATCACTGCATCAGAAAATATATCATATAATCTAGTGAATGGTGACGGAATTAGCCTAAGCGGTAAGGCACAGATCAACATGAATCATAGAAAATAGCAGAATGAACACACTATTCATCAACAGATTAACCAAACAAGCTTGTGAGACTGGGACATGAGATCCTATTCACCACTAAATATAAAGTATGACACTTGACAACCCTCTGTACAACCTTTCAGAAAGATACCCTTTTACTGATTCTCCACCACAAATTACCATTGTAGGACTCGGCCAAGAGACAACGTCGTGCAAATTTCTCTCCCGTGAACTAAGGGATGATTTCATTTGTTATCCGTTAGGCTTAAGTAGAGGTCCATAAACTTCTAAGTTAACTAATTATATTTCGCGTCGGCTTCATGAAATAGATCTAGATTCTAGAACCAGAACGGTAAATCGGCGGCCCCTAACCAAGAAAGAAACGAGGGCCTTTGGGAAGAAGAGAAGCAACAGCGGGCGCGGGCATCTGCAAATTCATTGCAGGGAAAAGTAGGGATATTTGGACTTACCAGGTCGAGATTGGTAGCGTCGAGAGGCAGACGATCAGAAGAAGAGACGGAGACTCAGAGCTCCAGGAGTTGAAAGCAATCCTAATGGAGCTCGGTTGCCGCTAGTCTCGTTGCGTCCCTATGTTCTACTAACCCAATCTGATCTTTATGCCAAAACAAGATCAGAATGGTGGATTTGACATTTTCTGATATGGGGAAGGCCGACGTCGAATTTGATCGATGATTAATTGGGGAGAATCAAGAATGATAAAACCCTACTGCCGTGACACAATCTTGGGGTTGTCTTGTAATCGAAAACCATAAATGAGACAGTAACCCCAATTAGAAAGAGTAGAGGGCAGCGCTTTGAAATAGAAAACGGGGGAGTCAGGGCTGCAAAAAAATGAGTCCTAAGCGGCTACAAGTTCGGTTTTTTAATTTTATTTTATACCGTAATCCGCTTCATTTTCATTAATCAAAATCCACCATTACATTGTCCAACTGTAGTTGATTAACTAAACATAAAGGAGGACTATCAAACCAAACTATAGCATGAGACGAGAGGTTTCTGGAATGCGCCATAACATGAGCTGCTTCATTTAGCCGTCCAGCGAAGTGAGCTTTCCCAATCTCCTCAAAAATTCGACGCATGTTCATGCAAACGACCCCAACTTATGTATGTATATATGCCGCTTCGCTAATCTTATGAATCAGTGGTAAAGAATCGGACTCCAATGTGGGATGCGTGACCTAAAACTGCAATGCCAACTGCAAGTCGTATTCCGCAGCTAGTGCTTCACTCATCTCCACCTTGAAGCTTCCTAGTACTTGCTAAGCCGCCGACAACAAGAAAGCACCATCCGAACCGCGAATCACCACCCCCAACGTAATGCCATTTGCTTCATCAAAGCCAACATCCGTGTTAACCTTGTGAGCCCCCAGACCTGGCTTCTTCCATCTTTCTACCCGATTCCTCGAGCTTTCTTGTACCTGATGCTCGTGTTGGTGGCGTTGGTAGTCATTGAAGAAGTTCCACGCCCGCATCGCAATTTCCTCCTCCGACGCTTACAAAGCTGGAATTTCCTTCCACAAGAGCCACATAGAAGCACTCCATCGTATCAGCTTCTCCTCATCAACGCTTTCCATCACTTGCTTCGGCCATTGAAAGCTAGTGTGAGCAGGCTGATACTCAAAGCAGTCTGCGAGCTTCGATGATCGCCATATTCGGCACGTCCACGGACAATCCCCAAAGAAATGAAGTTGCATCTCTCTCAAGTTACAAAATGAGCATTTGTCCTCACGCTGATGACTTTTCTCGCTTATATGATCTCCCGTTGGCAACACATCCCTTGCAAACTTCCATAATAAATGTTTAACCTTCGGTGCTCCATTCATTGTCCACAACTACTTCCAAACTGCCTCATCACCCGACGACAACACTCCCTCTTCCGCCTTAAACTCATGCAGTTGTACCCGATATTCTTCTTTCGCCATATAATTCTCATCTTTGCTGGAGCACCAGATGATTATATCCCTATCATAAAGACCACGCAAGGGGATCTGAAGAATGGCATGAACCAAATTTGACGGGAAGCAGCTCTCGAGAGTAGACAAGTCCCAGCGTTCCGTAACTGGATCCATAAGATCGCAGACCTTGCATCCACTAGCAGTCCCCGCGGTGATGACGTGACATACTAGGCTCCTTGTTTCGGTATCCACCTATCTCCCCAAATCCAGACCAAGTCTCCGTTACCAATCCTCCACCGTAAACCCTTGTTCAAAAAATCTTGCGCCGCATATAAGCTTCGCCATACAAAACTAGGGTTATGACCCATATTCCCATAAAGAATGGATGACTTTTTATGATATTTTGCCCTTAAAATCTTTGCAATCAATGACTTGGGGCGTTGATAGAGATTCCACAGCTGCTTAGCCAGCAGCTCCAAATTAAATCCCTTCCTATCTCGAAATCCCATCCCTCCCTCCAATTGGGCACACTAATTCCTCCCTTCTTATCTAGTGAACCCGTCGTTCAGAACCCTTTTGTCCCCACCATAACGTTGTCATTAAGCTGTGTACTTGCTCTAAAATATCATCCAGAATTTTTAAAACCGGCATAGCATAGGACAATTGAGCTTGAGCCATAGACTTAATAAGAACTTCTCGAGCAGCCACGGGCATCACTCTCTCCTTCCAACCTTTTAGCTTCTTCCAACTCGGTCTAACAATGTAGTGAACAGTTCCTTCATTGACTGCCCCGCAGTAGCCGCCAATCCCAGATATTTCTCATGCTTCTCTATAATGTTCATACCCAGGGTACCTCCAATGATCACCTTGATATGCGGGGACACATTCTTACTGAACGAGACTTCTGATTTCTAAAAGCTTACCAGCTGCCCCGACTCCCTTTCATAATCTGTCAGAATCCCTTTAAGAACTGCACATTCCTATTGACTTGCTCTAGCAAAAAAGATGATGTCATCTAGGAAAAACATATGGAAGATAATCGGAGCTCCTGCATTAGGATGGAACCCATGTAACCAATTTTCCTGAACTGCTTTTTCAGTATATGATGACAACCCCTCCGCACACAAAAGAAAGAGATAGGGCGACAAAGGGTCTCCCTGTCTAATCCCTCTTCCCGGAGAAATAACACTGGATTGATGTCCGTTCATCAAGATAGAGTAAGTAACAGACAGTATACATACCATGATCTTCCGTATCCATTCTTCATCGAAACCCATCCTCCAAAAACCCCCCCCACTCCACTCGATCATATGCCTTTGCCATATCGATCTTAGCTGCAAAGTGACCAATCTTCCCTTTTTGACTTTTCTTCATCATGTGAAAACACTCAAACGCTGCCATCACATTATCTGTGATAAATCAACCAGGAACGAAAGCACTCTTAATCGGAAAGATGATCTTGTCAAGAATCACCTTCAACCGGTTTGTAAGTACTTTGGATGCCATCTTGTATAGGACGTTGCACAAACTAATAGGTATGAACTCCATTGGCGAGGTCAACCGCTTCACTTTTGGAATAAGAGCAACTACCGTATGATTCAACCCACTAGAAATCGTCCCATGATCAACAATACCTTGGACAGTTTCCAGCACATCCTCCGCTACTATCTCCCAATATTTCCTGAAGAAGAACACTGATAAACCATCAACACCAGGTGCCTTTCTCGTTCCCATTTGTTTGACTATTGCCCATACTTCCTCTCGGGTCATCGATTTGAGCAACTCATCGTTATCTACCTCCCCCACCGACCTACGTATGGAATCCAGGACAAGTGTGGCCACAGGTGTTGCCCCTGTAGTAAATAGACAATCAAAATAATGGTGAAGACATTCCATGGCCTGCTTCGTTCCTAGGTACCACCTCCCTGCTTGATCTCGTAGCTTCCGACTAGTGTTCCTCCTCCTACAGGCAGTGACCGTGGGAGGAAAAAATTTAGTGTTCTTATCGCCACCCTTCAGCCAATCTGCTCTCGACTGCTAATTCTAGTATTGTTCTTCCTCTTCTTCCAGTTCCTCTAGCTCGGACTCCAGGGACTTTCGCTGCATCAACACTACCTCTGTCTTTTGAACTCTCTCCAAAGCCTTCAGGGCTCGTTCTTCGCCTTTTGAAATTAGGGAAAGCCTATCTGCTCCACATCTCAAGCCTAACACGACAGCTCTTAATTTTTGATAGCGCATTCGTCCCTCCTCCACTGGTCCACGCATCTTTTATGACACCTGCACAGTCAACATGGTTAGTCCAAAGTGGATCAAATCTAAAACTCTATCCCCACTACGGTTCCTCGTCTTCTTCTCCTTGAGTATAACAGAAAATCAATCGGCGATCGGACTTCCTTATGTCCAAATGTCGAACTCGAGCTACTGAGAACATTGCCTGCCAGTTTACCAATGTTAAGAATCGGTCTAGCCATTCCTCAAACAACCCACCTTATTCTCTATTGTTCTCCCAGGTAAACTCGTACCCCTGGAAGCCAAGATCTTTTAGACCAACATCGGTGATGCAGTCTCCAAAAGCATCCATGTTACCATTATTCGCTTCTCGTCCACCTACTTTCTCTACTGCCGATAGAATCTGGTTAAAATCGCCAGCACATAACCAGGAGCCATCGTCCAGATCTGATGTTTATCTTGATTATCTGGCCACCCATACACACTAGTGAATCTCCAAGCATCATCAGTACCACCTTCAACCTTCATATCCATGCAATGCAAATCAGCATTCATAAGCGTCAACTTCATCATGGGCCTCCTATCAAGGCATACTCGTAATCGTCCTTGCTCTTGAACCTAACTAAATATCAATTGTGCTCCATGTCTGATATCTGCAGCTCCTCATGGCGTGCCCAAAGGAACGTCAGTCTCCTTCGTCTCAAACCATGGACAACCAAATCAAAGTGACACTCTCTCCACTGCTTATTCTTTTGAGCCGCCGTGAACAACGCCGACGGACATCTTGGGTCATATTCCTCTTCCTCCACCATATCATCCTCTTCCCTTTCCTGGTTTGCTACATCCTCGAAATCCGATTCGGCCACGTACCAGCCTTCCTCATAAGTTTCTTCCCGAACAAACCTGCCGATCCATTCGCCCACGGCGATTTTGTAGGTTTCTTTGGTTGCGTTGTAGACGATGGATTCGTAGTACCATCAGTTTCCATGGAAGCTGTCATTGCGTGATCACTTTGCTTCATTGTCCCATCAAAATTGATAGCCCTAACTTTCTTTTTTGCTTGGACAGTTTCCTTCTCGTTTTTTCCATCAGGCGAAGAGGAGCCCGTTGCCGATTGTCTCACCCCAGTTGTTTGATTGGGGGCTTGGAAGCCGACATTAGGGCTGCGAAACGGTGCGGTCTGGTCCAGACCAGACCATATATACGGTCTACGGTCCAGACCGAGAGGCTAAAGTATAGACCACAGACTATACGGTTCGGTCCAGACCACGTCTGTGCGGTCTGGTTCGGTCTGGTCTGATCCAGATAGACCACACTCAAAGAAAAATGAATAATTTGTTTAGTCAACCACACAAAAAATTGAACCAATAACCAAGAAAAATAGTTGTTATTTGCCTTAAAACATTAATCCTAACATGCATGAATAATTTTGATACTCTAAATCTTAGTACATAACAAAGATACAAAGTAAAAGCATCTCAGCTTGCACCATAATGTCATAAACATTAACATAATGTCATATGGAGACACGATTATCTCTACTCCGTGGTTAAATGTGGTTGTGAATGAAGGAGGGAAGAGATTCACAAAATTAAGGTTGAGACTTGGTTGTCGTTGTGGGAGTTTGGAGAGTGGTCGAATAGGCTGTTAACACGTATTGACAAGTCCGTTGGGTCTACGGTTTGG